TTCCTTACAGCAATAAAAAAATATGAACAATATTTTAACTGTAATTACTGTACACAGTATTAAATCAGATACCACCCACCAGCTGTCCAAAATATGAGAGAAGAGGAAAACAGAATTATTTCTCTAGTTATATGTGAGTTTGGGATGTATTTGAAACTAGGTTGTCCTCCCATGACCTTGTTTAATAGGACTGGCACTTTATGTGAATGGACCTTTTTTTTCTGTTTGCACTGTAATTTATTTTTCTCCTTCATGGTTCGTACACTATGCTGGTTTTACAGATAGTCATCTAAATCTGTCATATCCTATGCATGAGGGTCACCACAGTTAAAGTGGATACTAAGGGTATTCCAAATTGGCAAATGGGATATAGTCAGGATTATTAATGTGGAAACTGGGTAAATCAGGACTCATTTGCTTAAGTAATAGATTTAATCTGATTGTATGGCCCCCATAGAAATATATTTCATAATGTTAAAAAGCTTCAGGTCCAAATAATGTTTCCAGGATACAACTTGTGGGAAGAATATTCTCAGTTAGTAGAGATGAGGACATGGGAAGATAAACCTCTGTCCTTTAATTTCTCTCTCAGTTCTGTAATCTGTATTGACAGAGAGTCATTCTGCAAAAAACTGATAATTAATTTAAAATTAAAACTCTTTTCATAATCATATCCTTTGCTTGTTAGTTTCTGTAGGAAATCAATGGCTCTATATACACAATTGCTGACATAATTCGTGACAGTCAGACAATCCCATGGCTTTACATAAGTATGTCATCTGAGGAAGCTCAGCTGATAATATAGCAGCAAATTGCAATGAGTGGTTAAGTATATGTTTTTTGGGAATTTATTCAAATATGGTTTATATATGCATTACATAGATTGAGAGTGTTAGGCAACATTGCAGAGCAATGGTCAGGTCAGGTCTGGTCTTTTATTTTAACTTGAGGGATAACCTTCAAATTGCCTGGAGGTTTATTTAGGATCATGGCCTAATATTCAGAAGCTTATCTAAGTCGTGTTCATATTTTGGGAATCTTTTTCCTCTTAGGCTGTCACTTGTCTACTTCAAGTACCTCCCCGCTGCCCCACACGTAAGAACCAGTGCAACCTATAATTGCTTTGTATCTGTCCTTTGCTATCTTCCGTAGTAAGGCAGTTCAGTTTCTTGTAGCTCTGTGAAGGGTTTCTGTCCTCATGAGGAGTCCTGAGATGCCCTTAGTCTCTTCTAGGTAAAAATGAAATTTAGAGAAGTGGTGGTGTGCTGAAGGTATCTATCTAGGCTGTTCTTGAAGTGTCAAACACACTTCTTATTCTTTCATGTCAAATAATATTGCTATTTTTTCCTTGAAGAAATAATGCTTTCATAATAACGCGAAAGTGTGCTAAGACTGCATTCATTGGTTAGAGTGATATTTATTAATAATTAATAAATGAGCATTAATTATGATGTAGTTTAAGACAATAGAGTTTTTTGACCGCCTGAAATTGAGCTATAGGTACGTAGCCTTTCTATAGGCACTGACTTCATATACCCAAGTAGCTGTATTAAAAGGGCTTTATTTAATTATTAGGCATCAATTTCCCCACTCTTACACATTTTAATTACAAATTTTTTTTTTTTAAAAATAAGCTCTATGTGATGCCAAGTCAATATATCACTTCTACTTTAATCTCGCAGACCCTGTTATGTACTGAATTCTCTCTCACTGGTCTGTATACTTTGCAGCAGGAAAAGTTAGTCTCATGCAGAAAGGAGCATAACTAAAATCATGCTACATTTTTACAGTGTTGAAATATATAAATTATTAATGAAATTTTAAACTCATATAGTTAGGAATTCTACCTGTTGATATGCATGAATTAGTGTAATAGTGCTAAATTACAATAACTTTTTAGATAATCTTATTGAAAGGAAAGTTTGGAACAGAAGTTAGATAATTTTGTGTACAAAATACATGTATTCTCAGTTTATGTTTACATGTATGTTGAGTATCTTAGGTTTAGCATGTTCTACCTTGATGCTAAAGGTCAAAAAAGCTGCAGAGCACTCCTTTTTATTAAAGTCAGGAGACGCTTTAGGCAACTGATCTCAAAAAACAGTTTGTGTGCTTTTTGATACAAGATTTGTCTTGTCTGTGGTGTGAACCTCTATTCTGTAATAGTCAGGTAGCTATAATATGCCTAACATGTATGATTTCTCTTTTTGCTTCATGAATGTCTTAGTTTCAAAATATTCTGATTGGAAACAATTAACTTACATTTTATCTCTTATCTGGGAATTTTCTTTTCTGTTATATTGCTTTTGTAGGTCCCAGAAGCCATAAGAAAGTGCCAGCGAGCTGGAATTACAGTCCGCATGGTCACTGGAGACAACATCAACACAGCACGTGCCATTGCCATAAAATGTGGAATCATTCATCCGGGAGAAGACTTTCTCTGCCTTGAAGGGAAATTTAACAGAAGGATCCGAAATGAGAAGGGAGAGGTAATTTACATACTAAATCCATACATATTATGAATATGTTATTAAAAAATAGCGAGAACACTGAAATGTTGTTTCTCCTGCGCTGATGTGTACCCCATATCAGTAAAGACTACTTGCAGAGATTGCAGTTTCTTTCTGCCGCTAGCCTTTTGCAATTCAAAATACCAGTGAAAATGCAGTCTTTACTTTTAATGGTGCAGAGCCACTATCAGGTTAGTGCGAGCCTAATTCAGAAGTTTTTAGAACCATAGAACTAGTCAACAAGAAATCAAAACTAAGCACATTAAAGCAGGCTTGTTAGCAAAGAGAAGGAACTCAACAGCAATTTGCAGGTCTGTCTCATAAAAACGCAACCAAATGAGAACCAGCTCCTCTCATTTCTTTATTTTATACCACTTTATCTAATGTACTGCTGTGTCCACTCACTCTAATGATTTGCATAACTTAATCTATTATTTAGAAGATTTTTAATTCCTCATAAAAGATGGAGCTAGCACACAGGCTGTTGAAGTCATCTTTGAAAAAGCAAACTGTGCCGTCTCTTTGAGTACCATCATTAATGAATGGACAGAGTCGTTTACTAATTGCATTGATTGATGGGATCCTGGGAAAGTTAGTGTATGCAACGGATTTGTCCTTGTTGCTGTTGGCATACCAAGAAAATTCTGCCGTTATTGGTGCCAAAATGAAGTTAAGAACTTGGATTCAAATGTAGAATAGAACAACACACTTTTTCTTGTAAACATGTTTGATCAGCTTTGAGAAGCTCCATTATCCTATACCTGGAGTCATGATTCTGAGGGGAATTATCCATAAAGATGATAAGAAAGGCTGATTTAGGTACTGTGGCAAAATTTAGCTACATTAGCCGACAGCTGAGCTTTGGTAGTAGTAAACTGCCTTGTTTAATCTTGCCTTCATTTGCAGCATTGATGGCTGTTGTAATTTTTCTGTGCTTTTGGAGAAAAGCTGCATATCTGAGTAGTGAAGTGAATCATCTGACACATGGACACAAATATATTTTTCATTTTGCTAATCATAGGCTAACAGTTTTACTATTTGGGGTTTTTTTTTGTGTTCCCCCCCCTCCAGATTGAGCAAGAGCGGATTGACAAAATCTGGCCAAAGCTTCGAGTGCTTGCTCGCTCATCTCCCACGGACAAACACACTTTGGTAAAAGGTGCGTGCAGACGACCTTCACATGTATGTGTAAATTAATGCCAAAGTTATTGAAGTATGCTCGGCACATCATCTGCGTTGTAAAAATTTTAATGTTACAAATATATCTGAGTTGTTATCTTTAATTACACATCTATACATAATGCAAGGAAGTTTTCTCGGTAACCATCTCTCTTGTGCTTATGTTCTACCTGAGCCTTCAAACGGAAAATAATAGGAAACTGGTTGACAGGAATAACAGAAACACCAGTAAGATGTCTGGCAATCTTGTATTTGCCTTGTGACTGTTAATTGGACTAGAATGAGGCTCTAGCTGGGAAGAGAAAATATGTGATTGCTGGTCAGAAAGAAAATATTGTTGAGAAATAGGTGGTTTTTCAGATAAATAAGAAGTGGCATAGATTTTGTAGTCTTTGCCTGTACTTCTTTATGAAGAAAACAAGAACAAGCTCATTTTAGAGTAAATCAAGTCACTCAAGTGCATCTCTTCTCCCACAATTATTTTTAAAGAGTATTCCAAGATAAAAAACTTTTCATGTTATAATAGCAGTTATTGGAGATCATGTAACTAGGAGCTGCCCTCTTTAGCATTACATGAACAGAGATATGTATTTTAAGCCAATTCTGTTTTCCTGTAGGCTCACTAATTGTGTGATTTGCATTGACTTCCTTTAGATTCCTGGCTGTATTTTTAAGGTCTGTTTTTGTCCTAGAAAAACTGCACCATACAAATTATGTTCTCTTACCACACTGCCTGCAGATGGAATGCTCCTATAAAAGAGGGGTTTGTTTGCAGTTTTCTTTATAAAGCCTTTTTCATATCTGTAGGTCACGCTTCTTAATGACTTGAAATCTTATTCTGTTGACTTTGAAGCTTACGCTTAAAAGACAGCTGATGAAATCAGAAAATTTCTGATCAGGGATAACATCATTTCTGGCCACGATAAGGTGGAGTGCCACTGCAGGTGAAAGGCCTGTTGGCAGATGGTTGTGTTTCCTGGCTTCCTGACAAAGAAAGAACTGGATTATTTTGCTAAGGCCCTAGAAAGTCTGGAGAAACCCTTCTTGGAGGAGCTAAAGTTCAGGATAAGATCCAGATGATCAGTTACATGTTTTCAGCTGGTTGACTACTTAAATAACGATTCATATTTAGGAAGGAAATCCTTTTGGTATGGCAAGATTTTATTGATATGACTCCATACATGGCTGATTACAAAGTCCTTTGAGCAGTACGTAATTTTTTAAAATGCCTAAATGACTTTAGAGCAAAAGTTCCTTTGTGAATTTGAAGATTGGATCAGTTTGGTCCTTTGGGATTGGGACTAGTGTATTGGAAGAGCTCTGGAAGCATGAATCATTCAGGAGAACTCAGATATCTTGTAAGCCCTGGTATGGTACATGAGATGGGGCAGCTGGAGATACGCTGCCGTTACTCACTCTCTCCAGCCACTGCTTAGACCAGTGGTCTCTGAAGTGGGGTGCACACACATTGGGGACAATTCTCTGAGTTGCAGGAAGAAAATATTTGTAACCATTATTAAATGGAAGAATAATTTAGAAATACTGTTTATTTCATCTCTATCGCATCCTTTTCTAATGTATGTTTTATAATTACATAATATATTAGTGCAGTAGTATATATGTATAATTTAAAAATAATATACATATTTTGAGGAGGTGTGCTCAAAAAGATTTTACCACTAGATGTTCATGATTGAAAAGGTTTGGAGATGATTGATTTGGAGAACATAATTGTTAGCTCCATAGGTCAGTATTAAAACAGCACAAAGTTAGCTGAAGCCTCCTCACTTCCCTAGTGCATATAAAATACTGTCTTAAAGCTCTTAGAGGACATGACTTGTACAGCCTAATAGTTTATTTGTTTCAGAAACACACAACAATTTGTGTTTCATTAAGTGGATTAAATAAGTCGCTTGGGAGTACTCATTTGAATCATTCAGGATTTTCCCTTAAGATGAAAATGAAACCTTTGCCAGGGAAAACGAAATCAACAAAGAGCTGAAGAAAAATAAGGAACAAATTATTGATGTTTGTAGCATATGCCCTTTGACAGTCCAAAAGATATTTACTACTACTGAATACCATACGCAACTAATACAATTAATGTTTTAAAGATGTGACAAGGTCAAATGATAGAGCAATTAAGTATCTAACGAAGTTCAAGAACAAGTCTGTGGAAAATCATGATGAAATTTTTGGCTAGTAATACTCCAAGGGCCATTAAAAGTTACAAGAAGCTATTTAAATGTTCACTAGTTTTAGGCCTCTTGTTAAAATGTTATATTTTTTTCAGACACTTGAGGGATCAAGAGGATTTTCTCTTCTTTGATGTATTCTATCTGCTCTAGGGTAAAAACACACATCACAAAATAAACTTTTTTATATTTAATTTTTAATGACATACAGCTGCGGGAGGCAATATTTTTTCTAGTTAACATAGCACAGTCCCACCCAGCAAAAGGATCATTTTTATTTTGCATTTTTGTTTTTACTACTGCTAAGGGACTAGAGGAAGGCATGGTTCAGCATTTCAGGCTGGGCAGACAGTTTCTCTCAAATATTTATGGCTTTGAAGTAGAGGTAGATTTAAAAAAAAAAGTCAAAATGGTTTATCATCACAAAATGTTGTGATGCAGTGAAACAAAAATGTTAGCTATCTCAATCCAACTGAAATACAATTTCTTATGGATTTTATTACATACATCAGTATTGTTTCATATTTTTTACCCTATTTCAAAATACAACAAGTAAAAATGCATATAATTTATAGTGATGTATCCTTATAATATTATTGCTGAAATACTTCAATATTGTCATATGATTTTTTAAAATGCTACGGGAAGCAACTGTTTAGTACTGATAGGAAATGCCATCTTCTTATCAAAAGGTATAAAGAAGATCAAATAAATATTTGGTTTACCAGTTAAAGAAACTGTGCTTTCCAATATGTTTAAATTCAACTGGAATTATTTTTCTGTGATATTAAAAACAACTATTCTATTCTCATGTAAGGCTGATTTATTAACAAGCAGAAAGGGAACTTTAAAGAAGAAAATATTTTTAGTAATTACCCTTAATTACTGAAATATTTCAAAATGGAATGATATTATAGCATGACCTCATTAATGTGGACATGCCACGAGACTAGGTAGAATAATAAAAATATAGAAAAATGTATTAATTGAAATTCTGAAATTAAATATCAGGATGTTGCAACTTGCAAATGGTTTTGATTTCCATTTGAGAGAAAATGTCATTTTTCAGAAAATGTCATTTGTCGGAAAATGTCCATTTGAGAGTAAAAGTCAGCTTCAACCAACTCTTCCCTGAAGCGAAGAACATAAAAATAGTTTAAAGGAAGCAGGAAGCATAATGCATTTGAATCTATAGTTTTCTGCTCTGTAAATAGCATTTAGGTCTCTATAGTCTGTGTTAAGTGTCACTTCGTGGGAGGCACTGATGCCTTCAAGGTTCCCCTTTAGTGTTTCAGTCTTACAATATAAAGCACATTGGTGGCGCCTGCTTAGTACAGAAATCCGTGCGTTTTAGCCATGTTCTTCTCTGCCATTCTAATATCATGAACTTTGTGGAGCACTAGTCACTTAACAATTACCAATGCTGTCTGTAGTGTTATATATAAAGACTTTTACATTAACCTTTAAAGCTCTATTCCTGCATGTAATTAAAGTGAATTTAAATTTTCCTCTTTCAGACGGACTTTCTTGTTAAATTAACAGGGAGCTTCAAAATGTTTGACAGTATTAAAACCTAATCTGAACAGAACAGGCCTATGAAAATATATTACTGCATCTGTCTATGTTCAGCTTGTCAAAGAAATGTAAATATGTGTAAGCATATGGGATGATCAGCTTTACTGCATCAGTAATACCTGAACTGGCATGCAACTTTGAAGTGTGTACTGTAGCTAAGTTTTTCCTCTCCGCCTGTTTTGAGTTAATCAGTTGAGACAGAAAGAAATAGCTAAACTAGGAATTTTTTCCTCCCAGAACCAATGGTGTCTTACTGATGCGACTCTAAGGGTGACAATGCAAGTAAGACTTGTTTAAATAAAGCAACATTTGTTCTGCAATAAAGGGAGAACCTGAGGCTATACTTGATGTTTTTGATCTGAGCCATGGGTACAGATAGCTCCTTGTAAAAGAAATGGAAGACAATTGTTGGTTAATATTCTTTGTATTATTATCCTGAGTGGATTTGATTTAATGCTTGCTTAGTGTTAGATGGGAGGAAGGTGAGAGATACAGCATATATTTCACTTTCAGCTGTGTATGCAGTGCTGAAACCTTTTATAGCTTGTGCATATAGTGCCCCTCTTGATAGCTATACATAGTTGTTTTAAATACGATCTTTCCCCTCATCAGAAACAAGCTGCTAGCTGCTTGCTCTGAAACCCTTACGCAAGCTACATGACTCCTCCCCAAACTTCTGCAGCATCAGCCGAATCTGCGTGTGGAACACACTAGTCTTATGCTCTAGGTGTATTCCTGTGGCTATTGAATAAAATCCTTTTTGACAGAGGAAAGTTGTGGCCAAACAGCTTAAGATGAGGGAACAGACCAATGAAACAGCAAAGGCTGTTTTGGGAAGAAGCTTTGCTGAGTTTTAGGAATTCCCTTGCTATACTTCGCAGACCTGTTTTTATTAAAATACTGTATGTAAGCATTCAACTGGAGTAAAGCAGTGTATTTTGAAGAAATTTCCTGGCTATTAGACATGACTAATTAATACTGAAGCTTCTTTTTAGCTGTTTTGAATAAGTGGAAAGGCCAGTGAATGTTAAAAACGGGCATTCTCCTCACTGGCAGTCTGTCAGGTCATGCCCTTATTTACATTTTTCACTGATCACTGAAGCAGTTGTTCTGCACAGCTCAAGACTGCAGAGGGGGAACCCTGCCTAAGCAATCTTCTTCTGTTTGGTCTCCTTACACTGTTTGTAAAAGCTATACGGACATATTACTCACTACTGAAGGAAATTCTTGAGGTGAAACCTTATCACAACTATTAACAGAATGATATTAGAAAAAAAAAAAGTAAAAATAAATGCGGTTAGGAAGGAAGCAAGTGCTGGAAAGAAGACAAACATTCAGAAATGTGAGGAAGCAGGAAGGAGGAACAGATTAAAAAGAGCATGCAGAAGTCAGGGAGCATAAGTATGGCTACGATAAATCCTCTGAATCCCGAATAATCACTACTGCTCCATTTTAGTAATTTGTCTGATGTACAAATGAAAGTTCCACAAAGATCATCTGTCTCTCTTCCTATGAATAGCACTGAAGTCCATCCACATACTGTTGTGCCATGCATATTTCTGATAACACTAGCAGTGGTCACTGTGATGCAGGTGTGTGGCTGAAATGCTCATTATAACTGAGACCATTTTATCCCTATTTTTCCACGACTGCTGATTGTGCAATTCTGTGCTCTGGAGGGTATTGGGCTTATCCCAGCTGCACAGTTTGCTTTTAGGGCTAAAAATGACTACTAAACCTTATGAACGACTACTAAACCTTGTAAATTACTTAGCAGCATCCAGCAACTGGCTGATGCAGGGCAGTTGGTAGTATAGTCGTTGACATTAGAGCACTATTTATATCTATTAGGAGCTCATTTGTTAGAGCCTCTTCAACTGGATTTGGGTTGTGCTCCTATTTGGAATCCAGTTGTGAGAGGATGCTATCTACCTGTTTGGAGCAGTTGATAACATGATGTGTCAGAGATTTTTTCAGAAGCTTAAATTATTAATTTAACATCAAAGGATGTGTTAATAATAAGAAGGGAAGACTAAGATAAATGCTTTTAACAATAATGGCAGCTGATGTTCCTTTTTATTTAGTAATACCAAAGGCAAATCACCCCAACAAATTGAAAGCTCTAATTATAAGATCTTATCAGAACAATGTGCCATTTATCTGAGTTCATACTGCCAATGGAAAGTGAATAAGTTTTTTTCTGATTTTCATAAGACTGAAAAATACAGGACACTAACTGCTTCCATACTGCATTGCAATCTTCTGAGTGGCTGATAAGCCTGAACCTTTCCAAGAGGCAGCTATTGCTCTGTAATCTGCAATTTCCTATTTCTGGTTATTTATCTGATATGTGAGTTATTTTTTTCCAGAGCAGAATGAAAGCTTTCCACACTGGGTAGATTTTGATAATTGTTTTTAGAGGTTATCACTTTGTACAAAATGTGTTAGCAAAAGGAATTTTACCATTTTTCCCCCCTAAGTTATTAATATGGAGAGGTGTTCTTGTACCCTACACAACAATCCTGTATTCTGGACTCATATTCAGATGGACTCTGACATGGAAATAAAAACATGAGTGGTGAATGATCCCCATCCTATTAAAAAACAGGGCTTCTTCTGTAACCTTAAAAAAATTCTTTATTTTTTTTCTTACTTTTCTCATCTGCATAAGTGGAAAATAGTTCCCTGCAGGCTAGTTGCATGCAACTTGATTCACCAAGTGAAAAGTGCTTTCTTTTCTCAAATGATCTCAAAATGAAAGTAGAAATTATTTTATTCTGTCTATTTATTAAAATGTTTGGCTCTAGAATTTAAAGAATTATTTTATATTTTCTTAATCATTGTTTGGCAGAATTGAACATGTCTGTTAAAATGCTAATTTGGCTCCAGCTTAATAAAATTCATCGATGGCATTTGTTATCTTTAGGTTAAACTGATTGCCAGAAGGCATCCCAGTAAAGCAGATATTACAGTTCAGTCCCAGTTTAGGAGAGCTTTAAGCATGAACTTAAGTCTTTGGCAAATCCCTTCTGTTCATGTTTAATCAGAGAGCTGGGCTGAAACTGGTTTACTGTGACACATGATTTTAAATAGTAGAAATCTTCCAAAAGAACCTAATGAGCTGATCTCATTCCCTTTGAAGTCTATGCAAGGTTTGTTGGTGTTTTGATGATGCAGGATCAGAACTTTCCATGTAAATTCTGGTAGTGATATCTAGTAGTGTATAGTAGTGACGACACTGCTTTCATCATTATTTTCCTTAAAAATCAACTCTATTAATCTCTGTACAAGTTGTGTGGTATTGTGTATTCTATATTACACAGACCCTGCTATTTTTTTAGAGGGAAATTTTATCTTGCTAATTATTTTATATGTATACACATATATGCATTTTTGCAGGTATTATTGACAGCACACAGGTGGAACAGAGGCAGGTTGTAGCTGTGACTGGTGACGGAACCAATGATGGACCAGCACTTAAAAAAGCTGATGTTGGCTTTGCAATGGTAAAATCTTGAGCATATTTATTGATGTTTGTGTCGTTATAAATTAAGTGTTGAGAAAGTTGCTTAGTTATGACTTCTCCGTGAAGCAATATATTGGAGGGGGTGAGTTATGTTGGGTCAGAATTCTTTAATTTACTATCTTAGATTCACTGATATTGCTTGTTTTGATAATTCTTCAATATTTTGTCTAAGGTAGTTATTGGCTATATGCAGAATCCTGTGCCAGTACAGAAAAATGAACTCTGTGTACTTTTCAACAGTGGAGTACTATTTTGCTTTGGTAAAATCCGTCACTAATTGTAAAGATGTCTTCCCAATGTACTCTGACTCTGAAGACATTAATATACTAGACTATATATTAAGATACGTAATTCTAATTTTTGTTAGCAATTCTGTTCATGTATATTAATAAAATATCATCAATGATAAAAATAACTCAAAACATCAGGAGTCATTAAGCTGATAATTTAAAACAGTCAAAACTATAATCACATGAATTCCACTGCTCTCTGTCACTTCCCTTTTCTGTGTCCTTATTCACTTTCAAAAATAGGCCAAATTAGCTAACTTCCTGGCAAACATAAAATGCAGAATATACTCGGCAGTCACTGTTACTATGCTGGGAAGTCTCTGTATAACTATGGATTTTGAATGAGTATGAAGATTTGTATTCTACCTGTCTCTCTACTTTCTAGTAGGTAATTTTATTCACAATTTTTCTAGGGTATTGCTGGAACAGATGTTGCAAAGGAAGCCTCAGATATCATCCTAACAGATGACAATTTCAGTAGCATTGTGAAGGCTGTAATGTGGGGACGTAATGTCTATGATAGTATCTCCAAGTTCCTGCAGTTCCAGCTCACCGTTAACATTGTGGCTGTCATTGTGGCTTTCACTGGAGCATGCATTACCCAGGTAAGGTTAACTTCAGGTGTTGCTTGAAGTATGGGGCAAAATCCCACCAAGCTACATTTTCTTTTAGGTAATGGGGGCTTACATTTGATTCTTACTTTGTACAACAGAAAGTATGCTTTCTGAAATTCTTTTGAGGTTTTTGTCCTTCATCAGAAAACAGCAAAACATGCAGTTTTTAGTGCTGTCACTCCCTAAAATAATGTATATTTCAGATGCTGCAGACAGGTGCTGCTACAAAATGCCTCCTTTGATTGAGACACACTATGGGAAAGCTGATGCTTCTCTTGTGCATCATACAGATGCATGTACCTGTTTCAGCAGGTAAATTTCACCTCATGCACACCTGAGCAAAGCAATGAATAAGTCATTAGCTCTGCTCCGGGGTAAACTTACATTGTCATCATGGAATTGACATTTGAAACCAGAAACCCAGGTACCTTTACAAAACCATGAGGTCAAACTTCTCCTAAGCCTTGACTGACATTTAGAGGCCTTTTTTGTGCTGCATATGAGGAGCCTGCAAGCTCCCAGCTTCTGCTAGCACCGTGCAACAGCTGGGTAGATACAACTGTTGTCATTGACCTCCTTTGAGTAAGGCTAGTGCTATGGCTGGGATTCTCAGAGAAATCAGAAATGCCTGGTTTTGAACCAAATGGAAGTGATCTTAACAAATGAAATAACTATTTTATTCTGTACAAAGGAAGCACCGAAACCTCAATTCACATGTTTTCCAAGAAGTACAAATTGTGAGCTGCTAAGTGCTAGATCCCTACCACACTGCCGCAGGTCTTGATGATGCCTTGGTGTCACAATTGAGCCTGTGCTAGGGGCAAAATTATCGATGTGGTGGCAGAAGTTAGGGGAAATATTTCTAAGCACATTGAGAAAATGTTTAGCTGTAAAATGATTGTTGCTGATAACAGAAGGTATGTGAATAAGGACTAAAACTCTGGAAGGTCAAGTCTTCTGGATTTTTATCAGTGGTAAAAAACCGCATAGAAGAAGTGCTAACAGCAGTGTGGTAAGAATACCATAACTGGAACTGGGGCAAGTGCTTCCTTTTAAAACCTTGTTTTATAGACGTTCAATCACTGCCTACTAATGTTTATTCAAGGTGAATTTTTTTTGGTTACTGTCCAGCATTTTTTCAAATGCTTTGTGAAAGCATGAAAGAAAATATATTGTATTTGTTAGCTAAGGAATTTCTGTTTTATTCTTGAAGAGGTAAAACATTACTGAATCAGTGCAAAGACTATTTAAAATCAAGTCTAAGTGCATGTGTAGTGCATAATCAGTGCAAGCACATTCCCCTTTTTAATTCCGGAGCTTTCTTCACCCTTTGAATCATTCCATTGGCTTCTAGAAGGATTTGAATCAGACCTAATGCATTTATATTGTCACAATGGTCTGTAAGACCATTGCTGAGCCTGTCAAGTCTGTTGGCCCTGTTTACAGGTTTTAATGTACACCTCCTACAATTCCTGTATTTCTGTCCAGATAGATTCTTCTGCAATTCCTTAACTTGGCATTAAAAACACAAATCCAAAGGAGAGCTCTGAGAGGAGCTAAAATTGAAATTGTAGTAAAACGGCAGCAGTTACTTCTATTGTAGTTCTGTTTACACTCAGTGACCTGACTGCTGATAATCTCAAGAAGCTCTCAGTTCTGTCTCATTCAGGAAGGAACTTGCCTTACGAATGAACATTATTGTGTTAGGCTTTGACTCAAAGACTCTAGCCAGTGAAAGGGCATTATGTTTGTTTGGCTCATAAGCTTTGCTAAAAATTACACTCGAGGACATACTGTACCCTCTGGTTGCTATGAAAATAGCTCTAGCACAAAATGCCTGAACATACAAAAAAATCTTGCATATAACAGGCTAGGTGCACACACATAAATCTAAGTCTGCAAAAGTGTACACAGCTCTTAAATTACTATTTTGACTGAAACATTTAAGTTCTTAACAAACAATTGAAGCTAAAATCTAAAAGGCAACACAGCTTTCTGTGACCTTCAAAATGAATATAAAGAAGGTCCACATTGGACTGAATTTTACTTTGCTTTTAGTCAGTTTGGCTTTCTTTAACATACAGAATATAATTTTAGTCCACAATTAATGTTCAGGTTAATAAATATTACACAGGGGTATCCTTTTGATGGTATTTCATCAAATCTAGAATCAGAAAAATTCTATGTAGGTAGTAACATTTCTTCCATGCTTCTCAATGTCACCTCTCAAAAAATCCGTTCCTCAATTCAGAACCAGCGTACTAGGATGCTTTGAGTATGAAGTTTCTTTTACACTTACCTACTCTTTTTGGGGCTTCTACTGTTTGTGCTTAAAGGAAGTACAAAGATAATAAAATCTTTGTTTTGACTGTTGTTTTTTTTTTTTTTAAACTTGGCTTGTGCTTTGCAACTGAATAAACTTCAATTTTATTCAGTCTTGATCCTGCAGTTACAGTGGTGTATGTGTAAATATGTGTATGTGATCATATCACTGCAGGACTCCTAGTGAAACCACAGCAACTCTATATTAATGAAAGTGTCCAACTGTGTGAGTACTATTGAGTGAAACTAGACCTCCAAGGAGCACCCAGAGAATGCATTGCCACGTAGAAGCTGGTTTGTTTGGTCCAGAGCACCTTAGGAGTGCCATGGAGAGGCTTAAGAAAAATGCTATTTAGAACCTGTGACCATTAGTGGATATTTTAAGAATCTGTTGCTTTTTTTTTAAAATACATAAGTAAAATCGGTGTTCTTGCTAATGCCACTTCAGGGAATTACTGTTTAGCTTAATTCTGTTAATTTTAAGCAAATATTATTTTATTATTTATCTACCCAATGCCTGCTTCAGCAAAATGCTGCTGTTAGAATATCTACAATATCTGCTATTTCTATTTTGTCCTGGCTTGGTGTTTCAATAGATGTTTAACTATAGGTACAAGTGTATGTGACCCTACATGCTACTCCAGGGTTGTATAAGGATTATAAAGGAGTAGCAGTGTTTTATTAAAGAAGTAATCATGCAGATTAAACAGGACCAATGCAAATGGTCATTTGCTATTCTCTGTCATGAATCCCAGCACAAAGTCATGTTGAGGTGACAGAAATCGTATTCTAAGAAGCATAGGAATTACAGATACAGTGTCACCTGTTGGCAAGCTTAGCGCGACTGCTGCCAAAACTAAGCTGCCCCTCACAGGGATCTTACGTACATTGAGCCCTGTTTCAGTTCACAGCAGCTGAATGTATAAGCCAAGAGTTCTGAATTTACAACTAATAATGAACTTTTGTGATTCTATAGTTATGTAAAGCATTCTGAGACCTAGGTCATACGAGAAGACCAAGCTTAAAGAGGTCTCTGATTAAAAGCTGAATCAGGATCACTCAATCTGTGGCTGCATGGGTGCTCTTCATTTTGTGTCCAGTGTGTACATAACACTCACCAATGAGATCACAACTATTATTTCTGCCAGTCTCATGTCAGTGCAGTTTGTGTGGCGCAATGCAGCTGAGCTGTATTAATTCACCTTATCTTTCAATTAATGTAATTAACTTACCTCTTGCTTCCTTTTCTCTGTGTTGCCCAGTGCATACTTTTAAAACTATCAGGGTGTGGTTATCCTGACCGGTTTGCATATAATTGTCCTTTCTGCTTAGCAACCACTACCTCAGGTTAAACCAATGATTTCTTTTTCCAGTGAATTTATGAGATATAAACTCTTACATTCTGACTTCATTCTCTGAATAACATTTTTGCAGAGCCCTTGATTGACTCAGTGAGGGTTCTTATTCAGAGCTTGCCTACAATTATTGTGAATTTTGTACTTAAATGAGTCAATGCTCCACATCTCTAGGTATCACACAGAATTCTAGATGTACCTTACAAAGCCAGAAGGTTCATCCTATTTCCTGTCCCCAACATATACATAGTACCAAGAAAATATTAGGTCATTATGTTTGGAGCTGTTAAAAATAATCTGGGTATGTACAAAATAAAGATTTTTAAAATGCAGTTCAGTCAACTGGAAACAGTTTTTTTTTTACTGTAACTATAAAGCTAGCAGGTTTATCTCCATGCCAAATTTTGTCTATAACTATTCAAAAAGGCTGCATTAAAGAAAGAGAAGACAAAGACTATGTTTTAACATTTTACATTCAAATTATTATTCCTGTACTTTGAGAAGGACTTAATGTTTTAGCAGACATTAGGAACTGAAAACAGTGACTCTATAGGACATGATGTTTGGAAAATTAAATGTTAATTAAAAAGCACTGTAGCAATGAACTACTGTGTGAATCACTTATTGTTTTTACAGAACTTGTTCAAAAAATGAGGATGATCTATACTTACATGTATAAGGCAGTAATTTACATGGTTATAATGTTTTACTGCAGAACTGTATTTGGCAAATCCTAAAATAATAGCATTGGCAAATTTGAAAAAGCTATAATATAAAATCAAAGAATGTACTATTTAGCTTTGTTTTGGGAAGGCTCAGAGGCATGGAAACAGAATTGAAGACCTCACTTCCATACAATTAGTAGACAGTGTGATCTAGCAGCAGAAGTGAGGGCTGACTTTTTTTTTTTTTTTCATTAATGTATAAGAAGTTAACCTACCAGAAATGCTCATTTTTGTGAATCCATGCATGTGTTCTGTGACATGTGGGAGTAAAGAGGTAAGGGTGAAAATACCTTTTTATTCCCTTACAGCGTGTCATCTAAATCAAAAGTAACAAGCTCTGAAATTTGTGAGGCTCTGCATGTCACAGAAGATTTCTAGCCTATTTCCAGCCTTTGGCGATTTTACTTTTAAGTGTTTCCAGGATGAAGTGTAACATCACTTGATTTAAGGGACATTTTCCTTTTACCCCTAGGCCAATGCTAACCTATTCCAAGGTTAAGTGGAAAGGAATTTGACAAATAAGTGGTGATTTTGGGTGGTTTGCAGTTTGAACAGCTTTCATCCCCAAAGGTTTCAGAAAGTGAATTAAGAATTATTAGCTAGTCAGTTAGTGGCTAAAATGCAGTGAAAAGAACATTGAATTTGCATCCCACTTGCATAAGTGACTAAAATCTAATGGAAGACTAAGCTCCTTAGCTGATATGTATTTTCCTCAGTTTCCACCAACTAATCAGAAATCAGATAGAGTTGCAGTGGAAATTTCATTCCACTGCCTGCCCAGACTAATGTGTATTTAATGTTTTGGCTTCAGCTTAGAATGAGCTTTCACACTTGACTGAACAGTGTAGCACTGCCAATAATAGATAATTATTAGGGGCACCATAGCCACCCAAGGTGATTGGCAGTGTGAGATGGTGAGAACATGTTGTTGCCAAAACTGATGACTGCCAATTACAGTTGTGTGATTTAGAGACTAAAATAATCTGACTTTTTGTTATGCTAGGAATATGTCAAATATGAATATTTGACTCTATTTATTAAGCATAAGAGACAAATTCAGTTTTATTGACATAGAAGTCAGCGCATGAAGTGGAAATTGAGCTATTGTAACGTCTCAAAGTAGAGAATGTTTCTCAAGAAAACTAATTAGCTAGACAAGTAAAAATACGACAAGGAAAATTCTTCAGTAGAAAACATGTTTTCCTTTTTCTCTATATACTTTGTCCAAGTCTAGGGTCTCTGAGCCCTAGAAACAAACTGCTTTTAGTGCAAGTGCTTTCCTTGTTTGAGACATTAGTATTCATAAAAATAAATGAGGTCTCAATTTGGAACAAAGTTTGTCCTCAGTGCTTTTAGTTTTTTAGCTACCTCCAAAGACAGAGATGTTTCCTCTTTCTGCAGCTGCATATCAAATGCATGAGCTGAACTCTCCAGATAAGCTCAGTTAATGCAACCCATAACCAAGAAGTCAAGAATCTATTAATGCTAATCTTTCTCCCTTCCCTGATGTAGCCCACCTGTAAGATTTAGAAAGAGTAGGTTGCTTTTCCTCATCCCTTTGAATAAGCCAAAAATGAATATTTTTTAATAAATAAAAATATGTTTTCAAGAGGAAAGAATATTTTATCTGAAGGGAGAGTTGGAATATAAACCAGATCCGCAAAAGACCAAACCACTTACCCTTGTTCTCCATATGTGCTTGGGATACTGAATGGATATTGTTTGATGTATCCTCATTATTTGATAATATTTCATTAAAAATGAACATTTAACCCTTTGAAGAAAAGGGCAGAGTTCGTAAGGTGTTTTTATTGGCTTTGATTTCCTTGTATGCTGTTCCATAAATTTCATTGCTTCACTACTGCAGCACCATGGTATTGTAATGCATAAAAATAATGCTGTGATCTTCCAGCTTCCACACATTAGATTAATGCCCTTCCATTATAAAATTTGTCATACTGGTACCTTATTACTTCAGAGATTCTATTTTCCTAATAAAAACCATCTATCTGAAAGAGGAAGCAGACTTTACTAATGTTGCCCATTTTGTGTTTGGTCTAAAGGCATAGGAGGTTGTTAGATACAAAAAAATAACCTACTTCATTTTTCCTGATATGACTTTTTGAAGCAATTGCATCTCTCTATCATTATAGCTGCCCCAATGAATTACAAATCAAAACTTTGTAACAGTCATCTAGAGTCCTTCTGAGATATGTGTTTATTTATTTACCTTTTTTTTTTTAAAAAAAAATGTGATGTAAAGTCCACTGTAATAGAACCATAGACTCTTCTTGAATTAAGTGAGGAAAGAGCTCCTTCTAGCGGTTGGCGATCTGCTTCAGAAAATAAATACTTCATCCTGACAAGTAGTAATTTTTTCTTTTTCTTTTGAATTCCATAGTTTCAAATCTGGTATCCTGTTACCCAATAAAATAATAAAGATTTTCTTACTTTTGCACATTGGCTATAGTTTAATGAGTTTCAGAATATTTTTTAAATTCAAATATCAGGCATTTTTTTGTCACTACTGTTTTTAAAAGGTCTTATTTAAGTAAGGTGTATTAAAATGCCTCAGTAATTGTTTCATAATTTGTTAATAATTTCAAGCTGTTTCTGAAAAAACAGATAAGTAGGTTATAGTAAAAGGAAACATTACTTTTTTAATTGTTTCAGTATAATTTTTCTTCCATGAAAGAAAGTCCCACTTGTATTATCTAGTTACCTAAATTCAGCTGAAAATTTTAAGCATGATGCATGAAGTAGCAGAGGGTATTGTAAAATGTATTGTGAAGTGTTAAGGTTATGCTTTATAAGAATTGTGTGACTGTAAATATTCCTGATTTAAATGACTGGAAAGAAATAATTTATCTTTGCTCAGACCACTGTGCTTCCTATAATTCTGGTCTTGCATAAGAAATACAAGAAAGGTCGTAGTAGGTCAGACCAAAGGTCCACGTATTTCAGTATCCTGTCCTCAGCACTACTTGCAGTCACACTGGGAGAAGTGAAATCACAGTAGATGACCTGACAACAATTAATTTTCTAGGAAATATGTAACTTTCTAATTTGTCTCCACAGGACTCTCCTCTAAAAGCTGTACAGATGTTGTGGGTCAATCTAATTATGGACACCTTTGCCTCACTTGCTTTGGCCACTGAACCTCCAACAGAGGCTCTATTGCTAAGAAAGCCATATGGCAGGAACAAACCTCTTATATCCCGTACCATGATGAAGAACATTCTGGGCCATGCTGTTTATCAGCTTACTCTCATATTTACACTTCTTTTTGTTGGTAAGAAAGTTTGTTGGCTTGTTGCTTAGTTTAGAAGCGTCTAGATCTTGTAGCCTGACATGTCAAAATGCTTTAAATGTAACCACTTAATGCACATATATTAAGTCTGTCATAGTTAAACAGCTAGCAGGACCGAGCTGTTTCACGGGATGGGAAACAGAAAAGATGCAACAGAGGATTTAGTCACCTTTCATATGTTGTTTACATTGGGAAGGGCCTCAGTGAGCTTTTTTGTTTCCTAACAAAATGTAGGTTTGGGCTTTGGCAAAAGGTTTTCTTAAAATATAGCAGAGAAGGTTACATTTTAATCGGAGTATCTAGCCTCCTGCTTCTATACTGAAATTTCATTTTGAGGCTTGTAATCTTTACTAGGCATGTAACAACAAATTTAAAAAAAAACCACACAACAAAAATCAACATCCATTTTAACAATATCTGGAGAAGCTCTAATCGGGAGCAAAATGTTTGCCATTGTCAAGAAAGACTACTGCTCTTTACTATAGATAAGTAAGTAATCGGTGTTAAGCGATACAAATAACACTCTATTTTGACATTTAATATCTAGAATGGATATTAATAGGGGAAAAAAAAATCTAATTTATTAGATTACTGGACTCTTTTTCAGGCCTTGCTAGCAATGGATGCTTTTTATAGGTTGTATTTTGGAGAGGGGAGGGAAGGAGGTTTGTTTCTTGCTGCGGGGAATAGTAGGGGCTAATAATAGATTCTGTTCTTCCACGATAGGAAGTGAACTTGCTCAAAGGACTGATAATTTTATCAGTTGGTACTGTGTTCTTGTCACTGTGTCATTGCTGTTAAATTACATGTGTTGTCTTTCAGATTATTTTTCTTTATGTACAGACTTCCATATAAGCTGTAAATGTAAATTTATGATTCTTAGGAGTTTTTTGAGCTCTGTTGTGAAACTCTTGCTCCACCTTACCAACAACTGGCAGCTTATTTGGAAGGCTCAAAGTAGGTGGTCTATTTACAGTGGAGCTATTTAAACCAAAATAATTGCCAGGTATTGAAGAGAGATGGTCTGTAATACTGTTAGGCTTATAGTGTATTTTGAGAATGTCTAGCGAGCCTAAGGAAATGAGAATTTCAGATTCTCTAAAGCAGGTGTAGAAGGTCTTGGTTAATTCCTGTGATACGAGTCTTGGAATAAGAACTTCTGTGAACTTTATGGGGAGTTTAAATGGCTTTTTGATGAGTTTTATGATTTAAAATACTTCATACTGAGCCCCAATGAAAAGCAAACCAGGCTTTTTCACCCTATTCTAATTACTTCTGTGTGTCTCTGGAAAACCCATGCATAATTTGAAGGATGCAGCCCAACCAATTTCTGATAAGTCTAGGAAATACAGTCTTTTCCTTTCTAAACTCCATGAGGGTCAGCTTTGCAGTGAGGTGATGTTCTAAACTTAGTGTTTCAATAAATAAATTCCAAATTAATGAGAATTATTTATATTTTGATCAACTAATGCTTCATTTTTTGTAGTAGGTACATCAAGTTTTTCTATTTTTTCTACTATGTGGCAATAAATACGTTGTGTTTGGACACATAGTAATGCCTTTGAGACATCAAGTACATGAGAAATCCAGAAGTCACCGTCTAGTTCTGTCAAACTGTAGTAAAAAAAAAAATCTTAACCTCAGCAACTTGGCGTAATAAACTTGATGTACTATAACACCTTCTGGAACACGTTTGGAAATAAAAACTAGTTATGGGTTTAACCACTGCCATTCCACAATAGCAGCATGTTCTGCTTTGCCAATTAAGTGATGCAATGCAATAGTAGAAACTTAAGGACAGGATCGCACGCTGAGGAAAGCATTATTGATATAGTTGTGTTTGTGTGTGTATTGAATGAAAGCAAATAGATGTAATGTGTGTATGTATATATATGTGTGTGTGTGTACCTCTATAAAAGATGAAATTATATCTATTTGCTTTCATTAATTTTTTCCTTTATTGTTTATATGTAGTAAGAGGAATGTTTTCCAATACTTAGTTGTCTCTCTGGAGATGTATAATCTTAAAAATTTCTACACTCTCACAGTCTAAGTTTTGTGACCTCATATTGTGTTACTGATACATTTGTGATATCGTAATCGACTTTCTGCCAAAAGACTATAAGCCAAATTCTTTGGAAACACACTCATTATTCCCAATGACTTGAACACGAACCGCTCAAATAACCCAAGGCAAAAAAATGCTTGCTGTTAGCTTAGCTGATGGAATTAACGATCTCAGGAGAAAACCTAACAAAACCTTTCTTCTTCTTTCTTCATAATGCTAGTGAGGTAGCAGAAAAATGGTCAAGGTTTAATATGCTTTTATTAAGAAAACACTGGTTATGAGAATGAGCAGTTACTTTAAGACAATGCCTCTCTCAGTAACTGTATGTTATCTGTAAAATTTGCGTGTAAGAAAGTGAATGAAAAATTGGACCTGAGCTGGCAAGGTGGGCTTGCCACCCAGAAAGCCAATGGTATCTCGGGCTGCATAAAAAGAAGTATGGCCAGCAGGTCGACGGAGGTGATTCTCCCCCTTTACTCTACTCTTGTGAGACCACATCTCAAGTACTGCGTTCAGCTCTGGTGTCCCCAGTACAAGAAAGACATGGACCTGTTAGGTCCAGAGGAGGAGCTGCAAAACTGATCAGAGAGCTGGAACAGCGCACCTGTGAAGAAAGGTTGAGAGAGTTGGGGTTGTTCAACCTGGAGAAGAGAAGGCTCTGGGGAGGCCTTACTGCAGCCTTTTGGTACTTAAAGAGCGCCTATAAGAAAGCCGGAGAGAGACTTTTTACCAAGGCCTGTAGTGACAGGACAAGGGGCAGCAGTTTTAAACTGAAAGAGGGTAGGTTTGATTAGACATAAGGAAGAGATTTTTTTTACAGTGAGAGTGGTGAGACACAGGAACAGGTTACCCAGAGAAACTGGATGCTCCATCATTGGAAGTGTTCAAGGTCAGTCTGGATGGGGCTTTGGGCAACATGATCTACTGAAGGATGTCCTTGCCTATGGCAGGTTGATTGGACTAGATGATCTTTAAAGGTCCCTTCCAACCCAAACGATTCTATGTTTCTATAAGAAAAGAGGCCCCTCAGGTGGAGGTACCTTTTCAAAACTTACCTTATTTTTACAGTTACTCATCATGGGTTGTACCTTGCTTTTTTTTATTGGTCAAATCTAAAAGCGATAGTCAAATTATCAAAATAAAGAGCAATGCCTGATGGTGTGCTTTCAAAGCAGACTAGCACAACGATCAAAACTAAATCTATTTAAAACCAGAATTTTTTTCTTTTGTCATTAATATCCTTGAATGCTTGTCAAGAGTTATGCCATACTGGATTAGTAAATGGATAACAACTGCTGAAGAGTGGTTGCTTCTAATTAGTGTAGAAAATTGCAAACATACTGTTAATGGTCTCAAGTGCTCAGTAGATCAGAAAGAATTGACTTCTTAGAATAATTACTACTTGGTTAGGGGAAAAGTACTACTGAAAACTATTTGCATAGGTATACTGAGTTATTAGATAAAAGTCATCATTTGAGAAGCTTCTTGCTGAGTAAGTTTAGATGTTATTTGCTCACTGGTGTTATAAATTCTGCCTATATTACAGTAAGTGCAGAAAGCAAGCTGGTAAAGCAGAGCACAGGAGGCAAGGAGCTAAAGCAAACAAGGGAATTATAAATTTAAATGTGATTGATTTATTCCAGTGGGAACCTTTATTTTTGTCTTTTACCTAGGTGAGAAGATGTTTAAGATTGACAGTGGGAGGAATGCACCACTTCATTCTCCTCCTTCAGAGCATTACACCATTATCTTCAACACCTTTGTCATGATGCAGCTTTTCAATGAAATCAACGCACGGAAAATCCATGGTGAAAGAAATGTCTTTGATGGCATCTTCAGAAATCCAATTTTTTGCACTATTGTACTGGGTACATTTGCTATTCAGGTAACGATTTGAGCGAGAATTAGTAACTATTCATCAGAAATTTCCTCAAAGGTTTTTTTTTTTTTTTCTGTGCGGTTCTTTTTTTAAATATAAATGCTGAAATCTAAAGGAGACACAATTAATAGTAAACCACCTGGTTTCACATATTTTCTCAACCAGTACAACTGTCAATAATGGAAAATGTTATGTAGCCATACTAATATAGCATAAATTTTATCATTATAACTAGGTCAAATCTTAAATTAATCTGAAGATGTAAAATAGTAACAGCCATCATGATTTGTTGATATTGTAACTAGTTTTTTTGGAAGAATTTATGAAATGGTAGACCAAACAAAAGCATCAAAGCATTTTACATTAATTTACTACTCCATGAATAGACAAATTAGCCTTCAAATAGCTAATGCAGATCTGTTCTACTGAGGTTAAATGCCACTGCCGAATGCTACTCAGTGTTCTCGGTAATACTACTTGGTAGTAATTCTTCATGCCCATCTTGTGAGCTTGCTGTCCCAGTCATATGTGAACATAATTACAGAAATATACACTTCTCCCAAACAGTTGTAATTTTTCTTCTGTAAGAACTCGAATTCCTCCTTCTGCTCCTGTATCCATCCATTTGCTGGTATCTATCCTGTAATTCATACCATTTGACACTAACTTTTAGAAGTCTACTGCAGCCCTTACAATTACTTATAGTTGAGCTTTTTCTATCTTGACATTATTGCTCAATTCTGCAGTGGCATCCTGGAAGCTATCAGTATTAGGACCTTTCTCATGGAAGGAGTAAGGAGGAGGATAGAGCTATTTGAATCTGGGCTCTGTTGTCTGGCTGAAGGAAAAGTGTCATCTGGCTGCTAGCCATATTTCTGAATCAGCTCCTGATTTTACTCACTCTTCCTAGTAGCTGAAATACTTGAAGTGCACAGTTCAAAACACTAGGTTTGCACTGACAGTGAGTCAAAAAGGACATTGTAGCATAAGAGTTCTTAGGCCGTGACTTTTACTTGCTTTTAAGTCTCTTTAGAATCAGATCACTTTTCTTGGGACAACAGAAGGTAATCTTTCTGTTAATCTCCACTTTGTTTATTACATTGTGGAATTATAGATTTGCATAGTGTTGCTTGCTGAAGCACTGTCAGAAAAGTTTTTATTATTTTGGCTGTGTGTGTTAATAGCTAGATGTGTAGGTGGGTATGGGAGATTACAGAAGTGTTTTTATTTTATATTTAAAACTTTCTTAGTTCCATCTGTATTTACTACACTTTCTGTGAAGTACAGACTTACTGGCTTTGGTATTTCATCTTTGAGTGCAAGAGTTCCATTAACTATTAGTTAGTTTAGTTCAGTTTAGTCCTCCTCCTAAACCCTTCCAAAAAGAAAAAAGCCAGCAGCAGTGGCCAAATTTTCAAAGTAAAAAATACGGAGACTATTACAGTGCATCCTCGCTACAGATCAGAAAGTGCTTCTGGGAGAGCTACAACAGCTTGAGAAATAAAAGGGTAGTTACTTCTCCTGTCCTCAGACAAGTAGTAGCTTGTGTGGTTTGATTTTTAGTGACTGAGATTCTGCAGCTTTTGCTGGATGGGTTCCAAAAATGTACTTCTGGTAGCTTGACTTGCTGCCACCGAAGACTGTCAAATGACGTATTTGGAATATAAGATAGTATTTTGATTTTGAGTGCTCTTTAGATTCAGGCCACTAAACAATAGATTGTTAATAATAGGTTTAACTGTTCTACTGGTAAAATATGCTGGAATTAAATCAGCAGAGCTGTAATATGTAGAAAGACAAAGTAAAATCTCAAGTAAAATATGACTAAAGGTTGTTGGGTGTTTTTTGTTGGGCTTGGGTTTTTTTGGGAGGGAGTGTTTTGTTTTGTTTTGATTTTTTCCCCAGAAAATACTTCTGCCCTTTCTTCTCTGCTTTTCTTTGTAGATAGTAATTGTCCAGTTTGGAGGAAAACCATTTAGTTGTTCTCCCCTGCAGCTTGACCAGTGGATGTGGTGTGTATTTATTGGATTAGGAGAACTTGTATGGGGTCAGGTAAGCATTCAGGAATAAGCAGATTTCTTTCTTTTGTTTTTATAAACCAAAAATCTGATATTTTTCATAATCCTACTATACTGTTATTTCCTTGATCTCTCACAATGTTATATTTAGCACACATTGAAATACAGGGTGCTCTCTAAGTACTTCAAGAATAGATATAGTTGTAGGGATAATTTATCCCACTGTTCCATTTGATTTTTGTTAATTTTCATGTTTTCTTTACCTAA